GTCTGAGCCAGTGGTGATGGATGGTGACCCTCTCACATCTTGGTGTCTGACTATATAAGCACAGATCCATGGAGTTACCTGAATAATTGTCCACATTTTAAATGTTCTGATCTTGGAACACATCTATGAAGGTCATTTTGAATCATAAGTGTTTGTTCATTGTAACTGTGAATTTGAAGTTTTAGAGAAAAATAAAAATTAGGGCTTTGTAATGGTACGCTGCTCAAAATTTTAAGGAAACACTCAAATGACACATCGTAGACCTGAATGGATGAAATACTCTCACTGAATACTTTGTTCTGTACAAAGTTGAATGTTCTGACAACAAAAATATACAAAAATGAAACAGTAATCAGATTTATAAACCAATGGAGGCCTGGATACATTCAAGTGGAAATCACACTACAGGCTGATCAAACTTTTATGTTATGTCCTTAAATCAGGTCAGAATGAGGCTCAGTATTGTGTGCGGCCTCCATGTGCCTCTATGACCTCCCTAAAACACCTGGGTTGCTCCCGATGAGGTGGAGGATGGTCTCCAGAGGGATCTCCTCCCAGACCTAGACTAAAGCATCCGCCACCTCCTGGACAATCTGTGGTGCAACATGACATCAGTGGATGGAGGGAGACATGATGTCCCAGACGTGATCAATGGGATTTATCTCTGGGGAACGGGCGGGCCAGTCCAGCTCCAATGCCTTCATCTTGCAGGAACTGCTGGAACATTCCAGTCACATGAGGTTTAGGATCGTCCTGCATTAGGAGGAACCAAGGGCCAACCGCACCAGCATATAGTCTGAGGGGTCTTAGGATCTCCGTACCTAATGGCAGTCATGCTACCTTTGGTGAGCACATGGAGAGCTGTTTGGTCCTCCAAAGGAATGCCAGTCATGCCGAAAAATGTTGCAGGCAGTAGAACGTTCTCCACTGTGTCTCCATGTTTTATCAAATGTGCTCAGTGTGAACCTGCTGTCATCTGTGAAAAGCACAGGGCACCAATGGTGAATTTGCCAATTCTGGTGTTGACTGGCAAATGCTAAGCGTCCTGTATGTTGCTGGGCTGATTTGGGCTGAAGATTGGCCCTCATACCATCCTCATTGAGCTGTTTTTGCAGACACATGAAGATTTGTGGCCTGCTGGAGGTCATTCTGCAGGACCCTGGCAGTGCTCCTCCTGTTCCTCCCTGCACCAAGGCGAGGGTAGCAGTCCCGCTGCTGGGTAGCTGCCCCCCTACAGCCCACCCCATGTCTCCTGGCAGCGCTTTCAGCCTCTGGACTCTAGGCTGATAGACACAGCAAACCTTCTTGCCACAGTTCATGTTAATGTGCCATCTGGGGTAAAATGCACAACCTGATCCACTTGAGTGGGTCGTCGAGTAAATCTCATGCTACCAGTGTGAAAGCACCACCAACATTCAAAATTGACCAAATCATCAGCCAGAAAGCAAAGGTACTGAGACATGGTCTGAGGTTCCCTCCTGCAGAATCACTCCTGTATTGAGTGAGTCTTGCTAATTGCCAATAATTTCCACTAGTTTTTTATTCCACTTTCACTGGAAATTGATTGTCAATCAGTGTTTCTTCTTAAGTGGACAGTTTGATTTCAAATAAGTTTGACTTGATTCTAGTTATATTGTGTTGCTTAAATCTTCCCTTTATATTTTGAACAGAGTACTTAATGTTCTACATTTTGTAATGTCTAAAAAAGCGACACCTCTTGAAATTATTGAGTAAAATTACACAGCTGGTCTAAAACAAATGCAGCAAAACAATTGTGCTAAAAAGAAAATCCTCAACCATCTATAATATCAACTGATGCATCTGCACAGATCTGCTGTCATGCTTTCTGACTTGTGGGCAATACACATTGCTGTACAGCAGAGGGCGCTGCCTGTTCAGTTAGTCTGCAACAACCAGAAATAAATATGGGCCCACGTTCCTGTTTCCTTTGAAAGACCCAACTCTGCACCTTCGAAGGATAACAGCAGTTCCACGGAGCACGGGAATCCAATAACCAGACTGAGACCAACTTCACTGCAGTGAGGAGCTAGCATTAATGCTACATCACATGTAATGCCAGTGATGTAGCACAGCGCTACATAATAGTAACTTTAGGGATCAGATCTGTTCTCTGCGGTCTACCTGCCTGATAACAATTCATCTCTGAGTCTGTGAGAATTTCCCTCCATTGTACATATATATTTTTATTTCTAAAGATTAAAAAGCATGATTTTTCTTCAAATAATACTTAATATTAAATGAAATGGCCTCCCGTTGTTAATACTCTATTCTGGACAGCTGCAGTGTATTGGGTCGCCTTCAGAAGCCTGGATTAAAATCTGTGTCAATATTGAAACAATTTAGTTAGATTTTTATATTCAGATTAAATTACAACTATTACAAGACATCTATAAATCTTAATCGTTCTCATGAGCAGCCCGAAGCAGTCACACCAAAAATATGTTTTATTGCCATTAAACGTTTGCATGAATGAAAAATAAGTTCTATCTAGGTTACAGTGAAACCTAATAGGAATATATTTTCACAATCCAAAACTCATTTTCTATTCATGTGTGCACAGATTTAGCTATATTTTTTTTGTTTTAAATAAACTGTTATTAATTTGATAGTATGTAAATGTAAAGTTTAAAGTTAATGTATATTTAACTTTTTCACATTCTGATCATTTTGGTTTGTAGAAATTTTACAATAAAACTACATTGAAAATATAAATGATACTCTTCAGTGCATCTTTATAGCAGTTTTGAACTTGGTGTAAATTTTTTTTACGGGGGGGGCCCGATATCAATGTTTTTCATGGGGCCCCAAATGCCTGGCGGCACCCCTGCTCCTACACACCAGCATCACAAGCTTTTCTCTCATTTATAGTCGATTTTAAGACTAAAAATGAGTCCCATAGACCTGAACAAGTC